CTGTAATGTTCTTTGCAGAAACAAATAAAATTGTATTGAGTCAATGAGTCGATGCAATCAACTGGTTTTCCTTAGATAGAAAACTTTGTATCAATTTGACTGTATGATCTGGTTGAACTGTGAAGTGCCTTGAGATGACATGTGTTGTGAATTTGGCGCTATATAAATAAACTGAATTGAATTGAATTGAATTGAATGAGAACGAAGTCTTGATATAAGGTCTATAAGATTAAAGTTGTAAAATTACAAGAATTTAGTCATAAATAAATAAATAAAGTCATTACATCACCAGAATATAGTCAGAAAAATCACAAAAGAAGCAGAATAAAATGTTTTAAACCAGAATAAGGTCATGATTTTACCAGAATAAACTTTTGACATCATAAAAGTTTTTTTGTTTTTTTTACGGGATATATATTTCAACATCACAAGATTAAAGTTATGAAATTTCCAGAATAAAGTCATAATATTATGAGAATAAAATCATGACGTTACACAAATAAAGTTGTAATATACCAAGAATAAAGCCATATTAAAAGATTAAAGAAGCAGACTGCTTTACTGCTAACTGATCTGGGTTTATTACTCTGGTTATTTAGTGGTTATTCTTTCAATACTCTGACTTTATTCTCGTAATGTTCAATCCTCTTTGGATGATGAGATAATCCAGAAAAACAAAGAAGGGTTAAGAAATGTGACCGGTCTAAGACTGTGAAGAGGAACCAATGCGGGAGATGTGACGGGGTCAATGCGACGACCTAATTACATCTCAGCTCTTATTCCCACTGAACCATCATCAATTTATAGACAAATGTGTTTTAAAAATTGTCATGATGGACTCAGACCTGAAACTTAAGATAAAGGCAGTCACTAAGTCAGCCTTTTATAACCTGAAAAACATTTCCGGAATCAAAGGACTAATGTCGAAGCAGGATCTAGAAAAATCCCTTCATGTATTTATCTTTAGTAGAACTGATCACTGCATCAGTGTCTTCATCAATTTTCCTTAAAAATCCATCAGACAGCTGCAGCTGATCCAAAACTTAAAAAAGTTCTCTAGAACTAAGGTTCTGAAGTCCCCACACTGGCTCCCTGTACTTCAGAAAATAAACTCTAAACTCCTTCTGTTGGTCTAGAAATCACTGAATAGATCGGCACCTCAGTCCATAACAGATCTGTTGTCAGTGGATCAAATTTTCAGACCACTCAGGTCTAGTTCCAGCCTACTCTGTTCACCCAGAACCAGAACCTATGGAGAATCAGCATTTAGTTCCTATACCTCACAGATCTGGAACAAACTCCCAGAAGACTGGAGTAAGCCTGACTTCTTTGAACTCAAATTTAATAACCCATTTGTTGACTGTCGAGGT